CACACACACACATAAATAAAATTTTAAAAAAAGAAAAAAGAAAAAAAAATTTGTAGTTTCAGTTTCCAGTTCTTACTTCCACACATTCTTTTCCTCTCTGCCTTCCCCTCCTGTTCAGCTCCATGATGCGCACACGCTGCCCTGTTCCTCTCACCACAAAGACATTCTAAGTGGTAAATCTTGTTAGTGGAGAGAGAGCTGTCTTCGCTCTGAGGTAGGCAGTTAGGAGTTAGTGTCCTCAGCTGCAGGTGTCATCGTGTCACAGACAGGCCTCTCCTGTGACCGTTGGTGTGGACGATTCTATTTTTCTGCACGCCAGGTGCTGGCTCCTTGGCAAGTCACCTCGGCCTGGGACAGGCTAGATACAGAAAAGCCAGCTGAATGGTCCTAGGCCCTGCGCGTTCTGCCTCAGAGTGGTCTCCACAGACCCGCACTTGGGATTTTTTTTTCCTTTTCAGGTATAGAATGTCTTTTTGGTTTCTTGCTACTTTTTATGTTGCGTTAGTATTTCCATTTCATTCTTACAGTGTCGTCTTGGTTTTTTTCATGTCTTCCTTTAGTTCTCTGAGCATCTTTAAGATATTTTTGTTGCTTGTTTTGGTTTTGTATTTTATTTGGGGGAGGTTGCTTTGTTTTTGGGTGATTGTTTGGTTTTGTTTTCTTGGGGTTTATTTTTGTACTGGGATTGAAGCTTGGAGTCACATGGGCTCAGAAGTGCTGTTGCACTGAGTACCCCTCTCGCCCTTTTTTGAGCCTTATTTTAAAACAGAATCTTCAGTAAGTGCCCCGGCCTGGCTTCCTGCATGTGATCTCTCGTTAGCCTCCGGAGTGGCTGGGGCGCATGCGCACACTGCCGTGTTCAGCTAACAGGCTTGTTTCAAAGCCATTTAACAAAACTGCCCTGCAGTCTTTCTCATAAGCTGTTTCTCTTGATTTTTGTTTTGTTTTTCCCCACTGAGTGACCCATTTTCTTGTGCGTGACTTGTGATTGTTGTTGTTGAAAACTGCACATTTGAATCGAATGATGTGGTAACCAAGGAGGTGGAGTCCCCCGAGTTAGCTCGTTCCTGCCGCTCCCCTCCTCCCGTGCTTGTGGCCACACCTCTGCCCAGGCCCAGTCTGTAGCTGCCCGGAGAGGCCTGGACTTTAAGCCTCTGCCTGGCGGTGGGGGACAGGTAGAAGCAAAAGAAAATCCATCTGGAAGTCACTAGGTGCAGGTGCAGTGAAATCGAAGACAAAAGAAAAAACAGAGACTGGGAAAATGTAATTGTGAGGTTGTACTTTCAAGAAAAATTGCAGCTTTGGGACCCCAAGTTACCCCACGTCACGGTGCCTTTTTCCCTTCCACAAAACCCCAGAAAGAATGCCTGAGGACCTTAAATGTCCAATAAGACCATAAATTGTGGGGTTTTTTTTTAAGGGCTTCACTATACAGATCAAACTCGTAATGATCCTCTGAGCCTATAATTTGGCTCATGTTTTTTAATCTGGAAATTGAGGATGCTTTTCCTGTCCTAGACCAGACCTCCCTGTTCAGTGAAGCAGCTCTAAACTCCAGGCTGAGGCCCCTGGTGTGCACCTAACTACGCACTGCAGGGGCGCCTTGCACATAGTAGGGCCGCACCCCCAGATCACCCGTCTCAGACACCCCCCCAAGGCAGCATAAAGCCCCACCCCAGTCCACATGGAGGTTCCCCGGGGCATGCACTCTGCCACGTGTGTTCTGTAATTCCTCCTGGTGAACCTTTGTGCGCCTCTCACCACCCAGGCCCTTGCTGGAGCCAGCAAGTTGGCGGCCTCCCCTGGGAGCTGGGTCAGATGAGGGCCTCATGCCCTTTGGGGGACTGCCTCAGACCCTGTCAGTGACAGAGGGAAGGGACTTGAAGCAGTCGGAACATGGCTTCCCAGTGCAGGAGGATGGGGTCTCCGGACCCTCAGCCAGTGACAGTTGTTCTCCCAGGACGCACACTGACTTGGACTGGAACAAAGCACATTTTGCCATGTAGCTCCCCTGGAAGCTGTAGGGGTTTAGGGAGACCTAGAGTCCCCAGATGGCCACACCAGGTGGCCTCTGCCAGCACCAAGTTGTCTGGACACCTGGTCCTGGCTCTTGCTTCACCTCCTCCCAGATCCCTCACACGAGCCCCAGAGGAGGGAACACGACTGCTGCTTAAGGAGGGTCAGCACGTTCTTGAACCAATCACTGGAAGCCTCTTTATTCTTGAAAAGCTGTTTTTCTGTTGTTTGTTTGTTTGCTTGTTTGTTTGTTTTGTCAGGGGTGGAGGGTCCTGGGAATTCACAGGACTTGTGCTTGCCGGGCAAGTGCTGTGCCACTGAGCCATCTCCCCGGCCCTGGTTCTGTTTTTGATGGAAGAGCATACCAAGTGTGAGCCTTCAAAATAGTACAAGCAAGAACATTAAAGACACTTCCTCACTCCTGCGACGTGAGAGAGCAAGTCAGGGACGCATTGCCCGGCCAGCCTTCTGCTGATTTCCTAACTTCAGATGGCATTAACGCCAAGAATGCCCCGCTGCGTTCTCTCTACAGAGCAGTGTCTCCCAGGAAGGCAGAGACCCGGGGGCTGAGGGCGCTGCAGAGTGCCCTGGGCACCATCCAGCAGAAGGCGCCCCGGAACCCCATGAAGATGTCCCTTCACACCTGCCTGGGGCACTGCAGCATCGTGGCGTCTCCACAGCCCTAAACTGTGACTTGGTGACCACAGAGTCCTCACCAGCACAGAGCTTTCCCCCTGCCTTTGTGCAGACAGTGCTTTTCCAAAGCACACGTCGTGTGTAGCCCCCTCTGCTTCTGTTATATTAGGAGTGTGTCTCGAAAGAGCCTGGATTGCCCCTGAAGAACTCTGTTTCAGATGTCACCAAAACTGGTCGGCTGGACTCGGCCCCTGGAGCGCTTGCAGGAGCCCCCCCTCCACTCGGCTCCCGCCATCTGGGAGCTGCGTCCAGCCTGGGGCTCCCTTGGGAGAGAGAGGAGGCCTTCCAGCTTCCTGCACGCAGCGCAGCATGGGGGTCGCTAGCCAGTCTGGAAACAGCTAGTTTTCCAAGACCTTTGTTCTTCCGGATGCATTTCATTTCGACTTCCCACCTTTGACTGAAACTCTGAAAGCCTGTCCTTAGAAATCCGTCGGCACACAAAACGCTTGTTCTTTGGAGAAGTGAAATTAACATTTATACGTGTGGTATTAAAACAAAGAACCTCTTCACCAATTTTTTAAAAATGTTTTTGGTCTTAAAATAATGATCGTAAAGGTTTATTATCAAAGATAATGTTGGGGCCAGGGAGATAGCTCTGTAGAATAAGCGCTTTCCTGGCAACAAGCACAGGGGCCTGAGTTCAATCCCTGGTTCTGAAAAAAAAAAAAAAAAAAGCAGCTCGTGTTGTCCTCATATACTTACATATTTAAATGTCCAGTCTTAGCAAAACTGTTTTTTCTTTTCTCACCAAGTTTACCTGAAAGAAGCTAGCTGCCTGTGTCCACCAGAGGTGAATGGGCACTGCCCTGGGCTTGCCTGGGAGCAGGGTAAGTGTTTGGGTCTGGGGACCACGGTGTTCCTACCTCAGGGCTCTGCAGCCTGGGCTCCCGTCCTTCAGGAAGTGAGGGCGACCTGCTGGCCGCTCACTCTGGTGCTCTTGAGAGAAACCCTGACCCGGAGCAGGGAGCCCACACCTGCAGAACAGAAAAAGGAAACAAGAAAGCAAAGGTTACGAAGGCCTTTTATTTTTATATGACGTACAACTAACTTATTTTTCCTTTTTGTATTGTTTTGCTTAGGAAAACACTTCTTTCTCCTGTCAGGTTTTGTGGGTTTTTTTAAATAAATATATCATAATGATTAGGAAAATTGACCTTGTTATCCAGGGTGCCTGCTGAACGCTGCTTCTCCAGGCCTCGATCTCAGATCTTGCTCTCTTGCGGTCTCCTGGCTTCTGTCTTCAGGTGGCATACGACTCTCCAGTGCTGCCTTTGCTAGTTCTTAGAATTTTCTAATATGAAGCAATTCCATGCAAATGTTCCTGTTTTATGAATAGAAACTCATATTCTACTCCATCCTGATGGTTCAATGATTTTTAGGCCTTTGTCTGTTGGTCAAGTTGTGTTTTATTTTTCCCCATGGTGAAAAATGAAAACAAAATCTACCTGTGTATCTGCCACAGACAATCTTCTATAATAATGTTTTTAGTCTATGTAAACTGCAAATGGCATCCAGAGCTGAGAATCATTCCACAGTCATGTATGCATATTTCAGATCTTATGTTTCTTAATGATATAAGACCTTTCCCATTGTCTCTGGACATTTGCTTTATCTAAAATTGCTTATCCTTTGCCCTCGTACACGCTTTAGGGAGCATATCTTAGTCTAGGCTTGATTCGAAATCGGTGCTTACTGTGAGCGGCCTTCTGAGTCCTCACAAGGTCTCGTCTTTGGACGCAGGTCAGGTGGTGCTCTGAGAGGCTGGCCCGCTGCTGGGCAGGGCCAGGCTCGGCAGCATGCCTGCCGCCCCCCACGGGGGTCTTACCTAACCGCAACTTTCCGTTCATACTTGTTAACTTTTTCTATTGCTGACAATAGAAATTAGAAATAGCATCGCACAGCGCAGGCCTTGGTGTTTATGTAAATGTTAGCCCAAAAGCTTTATTTTCTTGGGTCTGAGGCCAAGATGTATTGAAAATAAGATGGTGTATGGATGGAGTAGTTTCGCAATTAAGTGAAACTTCTTTATAATTAACAAGATAAATTTAATCCATATTGAAAATTTGTTCCAACTGCACTTACATCAATTTGTTTTTACTAATTATTAATATTTTAATTAGATATCTTTTCAGTAACAATAAACTGTGTAATGTAAACTTCAGAAATTGTCTTGAATATACATTTTGTGGCATCCAATGTAGTTTCTCAGGAGCTACAGAAGGGCCTCACCCACATTCTGTTTGCAGTGGCAGCCGTGTCTGGATTCCTACCTTGCAGAAAATACAGGTATCTTCCAGTTCATTAATGTGTTTAATCCTCTCTTCAGCACTGTAAAGTATTGATCAGGTCTCCAGTATAGGTATATGTATATATATATTTTTTTTTCTTTTTTTTTTGGTGGAACCAGGGATTGAACTCAGGCCTTTGCGCTTGCCAGGGAAGCACTTATTCCACTGAGCTATCTCTCCGGCCCCGGTGTATGTATATTTTTTAATACTTGCCAATTTTATTGCCAACTTATGGAATATAGTGATTAAAATTACTATTACCAAAAAAATGCTGTTACAAATTCTTAGTAATTATGCAGGGCAAACCTGCATTTTAAAAGTCTGACTGTGTAACTTAGTAACAACAAAATCTAGAAATCAAAATACAAAACAAGATCCTGGAGCCACACTGGAGCTGGAGGGTTTCCCTCACCCTGTCTTCTGGCCCTGACCTCTGCCTATCCCTCTTTACAATGGCTTCCGGTGGTTTTGAAGTGTTTCCCCCAGAAGTCACCTGGCCAGGTTTATTCAGTGTCCCCAGATGACTGCAAGTGTTTGTAATTGTGACCCCTGACTCAGAGAATACCAGTGTGGATGCCATGCACTGTAAGAATAAAGCTAAGGGGCCTCAAAAAAAGTCCTGGCATCAACAAGGCTTTTAAATTTTATACTTTTCAAGCTATGTGTGCCTCTCTATAAGCAAGAAGAAAACTCACTCAGCACTGAGGGCACTTTGGGCAGGGGCTGGTTTACCTGCTTCACAGCTACCTCACGTAACCCTCAGAGCTGGCCCACAGAACACCTTGTTCAGCCCATTTTATAGAAGAGGGCACTGAGGGAGAGGGGTCACATGAGCTGAAGGAGGCTGCACGGCTGCTAGGTGGAGGGACGGAGCGGAACTTCATCATCTGAGTGTCGAGCTGCGAGGAGAAGTGCCTGTTCCTACTACACTCAGAGGGATTTCAGAATTGTCTGATGAGGGCCCCCACTCAGAAGCTCCTCTCAGTGTCCCAGGTGGAGAGCTGGCACTGGGGTGACCAGTGCTGGCGGCGCCTTGCGACTCCCTCCTCCTGCTGGGCTGCTGCCTGCTGCATCAGGAGCCCTTTATCACACACCAGTCTTCTCAGAGGCTTCGAGCAGCATCCGGGTGGGGCCGGGGTGAGGCCCCGGTCTGAGGGCCTCTGCTGCCCACCCCAAGGAGCCTGCTCAGCCACGCGCCCAGTTCTGGAGGTGTGCTGTGCATGGTGTGGGACTTCAGCAGCAAGCTGGGCTAGCTCTCCAGTCCTCGGCCTTCAGGGCTTTCTCCCGGGAGAGGGTGAACTCTGAACCTCAGGCTCCCAGGAGCTGAGAACAAGCAGGCTCAGGGCTGAAGGAGCAAAGTCCCAGGGCTCCCGTAGTGCACAGGCTAAAAGGGACGCTCTGCATGCCCCCCAAGGTCAGCGAGGTCAGACCTCCCAAGCTAAGGTGCTCCTTGTGGAAAGCAGAAACTACCAGGCGCGGTGGCGCACACCTGTAATGAGGGCACTTGGGAAGCTGAGGCAGGAGGACTACTGCACGCCCAAGGCCAGCATGCACTACTGTGTAGAGGCCCTGTCTCTAAGAAAAATAAAATATAAGAAAGTAATAACCTGTGTAGTTGTGTTTAAGGTGCAGCTAAAATAAGTCATTTACTTAAATTGAAGTTTAATGATCGACTGAATCTTCATGTTTTCTTTTCGTTTACTGGCTTTACCTTTAAACTTTCAAGAAATCCTCTTAATAAGATGAAGGTAAGCGCTTGCCTGTAAGCACAAGGTCCCAATTTCCATCCCCAGTGCCACAGGGGAAAAAAGAATAAGATGAAGGAAAGAAAATGTTAAATTTTGCAGATATCCTAGTAAGTAAGATAGCCACTCGTGATACTTGCAAAACGGAAGGATTTATTGCCTGGTGCGGTGTGCGGTTTGCCTTTTGTGTCCTCACACTGCTTGCCAGCCGTGTGCGCGTGCATGTGTGTGTGTGCGCGCGCTGCTGTCCAGGATGGGTGTCTCCAGTGGCGAAGGCCTGTCCGCCCAGCTTCAGACACAGTATTTCCAGAAGCACTCCAGGGCGGCCCCCGGCAGTGGCTTCTGCTGGCTTCTGCTGCTCGCCAGAAGACGACTCAGTAGCGTGTTGGCCTCCTGTCCAGAGGAAGCCTGCAAGCAGAGCAACAGGCCAGTTAGGGGCGAATTCAGTGTGCAGAGAAACTACTCGAGGGGGACGGTGGCCTCAACAAGCCTGGGCTCCGCTGTGCCCCTTGGCCACGCGGCTGCGTGGATTTCCTGGCCCTCGCCAGCCCGGGACATGGCCCGCACGTGTTATCTTCCACGGGACACAGATTTTTATGTCTTGAAATTAACTTCTTTAAAAGTTGACCCTTAGTTTTCTTTGTATTCTACGACTTAGTAGGGATGTCCTGGTAACTGCCCGGGTGACTTCAGACCTTAAAATTTCCTTGCTGAAAACGAAAGCCCCTGAGCGCTGCTTCTCGCTAGCGCAGGAGCAGGCTGCATCCCTCGGACTGTTCACACCTGGGGCACCGCGCCATCTTGGGACCTCGCTTGTGCAGCGCGCAGCTCGGGCTGCAGAGCAGCGCCTTGCCGCAGTGGCCGTGTGGGGGGAAAGCTTGGTTAAAGTTCAGTCTCCTGCTCTTCGGATTCCCTGGAGCACCTCTGTGTGACATGCATGCTCGGGGACCCAGCACACCCGGGCCAGGACAGTAAGGGCAGGAGGTGGCAGTGTAGCTCAGCTTGCAGGGAGCCCCAGAGAAGCCTTAGAAAACACAGAGTTTCCTGGGTTTGATAACAAACGTGGGCTTTCCTTTTAGCCTTTAAAGCCCCATGTTCCCAACCTGTGACTTTGGCATTCATCATACCCCCCCTCCACCCCACCAGAGGTGACTTTCTGGGGTATCTGCTCCCCAGAAGGCTTCTTGCCCACCCTGTCCTGAGCCGG